AAATATGGTTGCATTTGCGGGCTTTTGTTTCATTTTATAGCCCAAATTGAATTACATAGTGTATTACTACGACCCGGAATGGAAGTAGAGTGCGTGGCGTATCGCAAAAAGAATCGATCAATTATCTTTATCCATCCAGCCAAGAAATCGTATGTTGCTGGGCAGGTACTATAGAGTGCATCATTTAATGTCTTGTCCTCTGCTTCTGAGAACTAGGTGCGTGTCGAGTGCAGACCAAACACCACAAGTGACGACGGCCTCCAAGTAAATCTGATGTAGGGTGCTTCATAGTGATAGCTGGTAGTTGATATCTGTAATTCTGATAGAATACAACTGCCAACAGGCTAATCATTGCTTGGCAAAAAAAAACTTTACATTTTTGGACGCCGTCGTCGCTTGTGTTGTGTGGTCTGCACTCGACGAGCACCTGTTTTTTCGGAAACAGCCAGTTCATAAAGATGCGTAGAGCTCAAATAAGTATCTCACCTTTGGGTAAAATAAGAGGAAAAGATCCATCGATACTGGCATACTAGCCCGGTAAAATAAGCCAACTAAACGAGGCTATTTCAAAGATTGAAGGGTCCTTGGCCTGGAACAGATTTCGAGTGCTATGGGTGATGTTATTGATAGCTGCGCCTGTCACCTAACGCTCCAGTTTCATTATAATTTCGCTGATTCTCCTTTTCTCCTATTCAGCGCATCTGCTTGAAGGGGACACTAATATAATCTAGACTTTTTCCTTAACCAATTTTACGGACTCTTCACCCCCCCCCCCTCTCAAGAAAAAGAAAGGATTGCTGATGACCGAATAATTAGAAGCAGTCGGTATAACCTTGTGAGACTTATTCAAAGCATGAACGGCCTTTCATACCTTAGAGTTGATCTACAGCTGCTGTGTTATGTTTCGGAAAGCAAGATTTTCCGTAAGAAATGGTAGCGAAAAAATTACAAGGTATTCCGATCGATAACTGCGTTCGCTGGCTTGGTGATTTATATTTTGAGTCGAAAAGTTTCCCGTTTCAAGTGTACTATTTGTAATTGTGCGTATCACGGAAGGTATTAATTTTGTAGTAATGATTTTCCGTGAAAAACATAACGAAAAGAAATTACAAGGTGTTCCGATCGATAAACTGCGTTCGATGGCTTGGTAATTTATATTTTGAGTCGAAAAGTTTCCCGTTTCAAGTGTACTATTTGTAATTGTGCGTACTCACGGACCAGATATCCCAGCCAAGTACGTTTGCATAGTGTAATTCCGAAAGAACTTTTAACCAGGGTTGGTCCTATCGTTGATACTTTTTGCAAAATTTTCACGACCCTCCTTCACGACGAGTTTCGCGCGCGACCCCCTCTCTTCAACCACTTCTCAGTCAAAAAACACCGTCGAGCGCTGGGGATATATAACTATCATAAAACCGTGAAATTTCCCTATATTTCCCTTCATTTCCCTCATTTTTCCTCTCTTTACCTATATTTCCACTGCTCCGTTTTCTAAAGGGGGGGGGGTGATACCCACGCTGAAACGGCAAATTTTTCTCCCGCGCGCTCTCACCTCATCAGATGTAGTTTTGCGCTACTGAAACAAGTACGACCCCCCTCCCTCACCTCGCGACTTCAAACTAAAATTACAACTCCCCCTTGGTACTGTGTAGAAACATACGCGTTGGCCCCGCTTATTAGGCCAGCACTGCTCACCGCCGTGCGCCCCCATGTGGTAGCACGATTTCGCACGAAAAAAACTACGTCTAATCACTGATAAAATTGTTGATATATTGGTGATGATTCATTTTTGAAAATCATAAAAAAGCTGCGAAGGTACTCATACAACGGGTGGTCCGCGATGTGTTAACTACAGGTCAGATTGCCCACTTTTTTTACTACCTATTTTAAGGAACGCCTTGGCACGTAGACCCCGTTCGAATCCGATTCTACGGTGACATTCGGCAACCTTTTGCTGAACGGGGCTAAAGGGCGCGCTAAATAACTCCACCGAACGGTCACTGCTTTCTGCTGCAATATCTCTTGTCTGTTGCGCTTACGTCATGCGTATGACTTACGCACGTTGTTACGTTACTCAATCCAACAGTGGCGATGATGGCCGTACGTGGCGGCATCAAAACGCCTGCCGGCGCCGACAAAAACTCATTATGTACTGGCGACCTGAGAGTCGTTTACTGCACCGCCATCAAAGAGATCGTGCGAAACAAAAGGCGCCAGAGCTGCATCACCTCGTGACCCTCGGGACTGGTTGGGAGGTCCAGTTCGACAATGTGAATCGGAACACCGATTTTGAAAGCCACCAGGATTCAAAAAGAAAACCCCATGCAATGATAAAAGCAAAAGGATAAAGCATTTGCCGTTGATCAATCCCTTTTTGGGATGCGGCACGCATTCTACTTCCATTTGTACATTCGTAGTGGCGTTTGAATGCGATGTGGCCTATACAATGACTTGCGGGGGCCAGCCGATGTACAAGTCAGTGTTTTTATCCTCCCAGACAAGTCTGGTACCAATTAACCGACCCCGGAGGGATGGAAGGCTTGGTTGGCCCGGGCGACTCACGACCCAGGATTTGATCCCCGGACCGCTCGCGTGGTAAGCGTGCCACTTGCCACTACACCACTTCCGCCCTCATGAAATGATAGCTTGTATTATCTTTGAATGGGTAGTAAATACCGAAATACAGCTCACCCCTCAATCCCCAAACAAGGATAGGAAATGCTTTTTTAGAGGGAATTGACGAAGATTTTTTCGAAAATTCCCGTTTCAGCCTCCGTATATGGACTTCAAACAGAGCCGGGCTTCGATCGTGTTCCTGTTTTTCTGTTAGGGCGTTTCCGAAAAAGCGAGGTGAGAACAAGGTCAGACGTTTTTGGATCCTCTCATTCGGAGGAACATGGGGGCGGGGAAGTCGCTTCTGTAGTTTTTGAAAGCGACGGTTATGTCCGAAATAGCGGGAGAACTACGATGAATATGACGCACAAAGTTGTGCACAACCTTTATATGCTCCCCCATTCCACCATACCCCCCCCCCCACGATAACATTGGACGAATTTTCGGATGCGTCACGTGATGACCAGATTAGGCGACACTATCAAATTTAGGATCCTGCATGGAGCTCCCACCATCAACCGTTTGAAGGCGCTATGGGACTACCTCTCGAGGGGGTCGTGGAAATTCTGAAACCGGTGCAAATTGACGGTCAGTGCTTGGTTACCTGGCTCCACAATGTAACCGCAATGGCTGATGTCTTCGTTAAACAGCAATTCGGGACCTTATTACACTTATGTTTATGGTTGCTATCAGTCGAGCTGTAACTCTTACTGTCACGATTTAGTTCGACGTAGTTATTTATTTATTTATTTATTTATTTTATTTATTTATTTATTTATTTATTTATTTATTTATTTATTTATTTATTTATTTATTTATTACTATTGCACTCGTAGGTGCGCTACAATAATTCGTCAGAAACCAAATCAGTTATAAATCAGGAATCATACTTAAAGTAAACACAATTTAGCCAACTTATTTTTACCCACAAGCGGAAGTTGGTGTTTATTTGTTTATTTGAACTATTGTTTTTCGTAAACAGCGCTATTTCTTCTACAAAACTCGGCTCAAATTTGGTTGATAGTTTTAGTTTTGGTTTAGTCTGAATTTTTGTATGATTGAGCGCCATCAGTCCTTGCTAACTAAAACGAAGGAGCCGCTTGAATTAGACGGGTTTTCGAATTAGGCCACGAATAAACACTGGAGACCCCGGTGGTCTCGTCCTCTCGTCAAGCGTCACTTGACCCGTGTCCTTAGCGTCCCAAAACACTTTGTTTACTTACAATTACGTCATTGTCAGTCAACAAAAACATAAACACATGGTGCTCGATTTTATTGATCAAGTTTTTGATTTCCTTTTCTAAAGACTTTCTAATTCATATGAATAGGCGGTGGTGATGTGGCAAACTGCGCCATTTACCACATGTATGTACCCTTTCTTTCAAAAACGAGAAAGCGTCGGGTGCAGACCATGCACCACAAGTGACGACGGCCTCCACAAAATGTAAATGTTTCTGCCAATGAAATGATTAGCCTGTTGCAGTTGTATTCTATCAGTTGTCACTAATTACAACTATCATTTACCAAAAATCAGCTATCACTATGAACCACTACTAACCAGATTTACTTGGAGGCCGTCGTCACTTGTGGTGTATGGTCTGCACCCGACGCTCTTCTCGTTTTTGAAAGGGAGGTAGGCTTCCAGATCATTTCCTGGATTCATTTACGCCGAAGCCGACCAAGCCTTCTATCCTTTTGGGTCGGGTAATTATTAACAGACTTACCTAGACGGATGAAAAACTGTGTTTCTTACATGTATAGCTCCACAAACTACTAGGTAAGCAAGGTTACATTCAAATGTCACTGCAATTATGAATGGAAGTAGAGAGCGTGGCGCATCCCAAGTAGGTGTATAGTGCCGAATAATTCGTCCTTCTATGTGAATCAGAAAGCGTTATGAATCCTGAAGAAGCTACCCATTTGATCGCTCATATTATTCATTGAGTGAATTTCAGTGAATGGCGGTTGGTCGGCGTGGTCAACGTGGACTGGCGCCTGTTCCGCAGACTGCGTGGCGCTGCGCCGAGCACTCGAGAACAACGCCGGCTCGGAAGTGATCCCACGGCTGCGGCGAATACGAACCTGTAACAATCCAGCACCCCTCAACGGTGGAGCGTATTGTTCTGGCGAAGAAGAGGTAACCAGCGTCCCAGAAGTTGCACCTTGTCTCCGACTAAATGGATGTTTTCAGGAATTCCGCTCCTGCAATCTCACCTGCCGTTTGGACGGTCGATGGTCATTGTGGTCCGACTGGTCACCTTGTTCACCTACCTGTCACCGATTTCGTACCAGGACCTGCACATCGCCACCTCCAATCAATGGCGGACGGCCATGTGTGGGACGTGAACTGGAGACTGTGCCATGCAGTGATGAGTGAGTTTCCCAGCAATTTGCTGGACTTTGTTTCTCTTAGCCTGAGAGATTTGAGGGTCTTTTTTTAGCTACTGTATTCCATCCTCTGCACCACAACCTCGGCTGACCAACGATGCGGCGGTCTACGCCGGCCTGGCTTGCGTTTTGGTACTGCTGGCCATCATTATGGCCCTGTGTACCGCGCTTCTTTGCAAGAGGAACCGTGGTAAAAAGGGCAGTGTGAAGAACATCTACTATGCAGAAAATGGAGGTGGGTCTCAAGGGTTTACCTATTAGTACTCACCTAAAGAGGCGCTAAAGGTCCGAAGGTAAATGAGGATCGCAGTGTTGCTCGTTCACTATACGTATAACTCGTAATAACTTCGTATTCCTGTATCAGGGTCGTTCGCTCTCAAAAGGCCTTGTGGGTTCTTACCTGCTTTATAGTTACCCTGCGGTCAGCTGCGGGGCAGCACCATCCAAGAGTGGGAGTCCACACAAGAAAGCACGTACTCTGCAGTTACCTGGATTTAGGCCTTCCGGAAGGAAAAGAAGTATAGGTGCTGTTGGGGTTGTGTAGTAGCCGTACGAGAGTGCCTAGGTAACTCTACGAATGCTGGATCATCACTCTTGTAGTTAACATTCGCCCTGGAACGCCGGTTGTCAAGGCTAAAGGGTTGCCTGGACGTAGCATTTGAGCATTTGCGACAGGGTTTCGAGCACTATTACCCTTCCACTACCCAATCAGCCAGCTTTGTTAGTCTCTTTGCTAAAATTGGCTTGGAATTTGCAGAAGGGTTGGTTGGTCTTTATATCCCATATTATACCTTCTGCCTTATTTATGTCGATATACAACGATATGTTGTTGCTTCCGGGGAAATTCTCGGCAGTAACGCCGCTTATGCAAATTTCGAAAGCCACCATAAGTTCCGAAATCGGCATAATCCAAATGACGGCGTCGGCGACGAATTCCCTCGGTAGACGTCGTTCTGGATTTAATTTGACGTCGTGGGACCGACATTGAAGAATAGCGCGCGAGTTGAGTCACCTCGCTCGCTTGAGGCTTTGTTTTAGAGTGGGGGACTCGCTGAGGCTCGGGAAATGCTTAGCGTGAGGATGAGAGAGTTTATGGAAGGATTGAAGTTCTTTCATATTATTAACTCGATTTATTAACAAACTATGCCGAGAAAGTCAATCACCTAACTCGATTATTTTTTTTTGCTTAAATCGAACAACTGCCTACCAAAGTGCTGAATATTTCCGCAAAGAAGCAAATCAATGATGCGGAACCGGACTCGAAAGTGGCTTTTACATTCTCTTATCCTGAGTACTCCGCAAAAAACCCCATCATGTAAATAGTCCCTGCTCAGGTCCTGAAGAGGCTGCTTCAAAATTGCTCACTGAATTCAATAGAGATCTCTAGAGCTCCTGATCAAAAATTGGTTATCGTTTTTTATTCTCCTTTTCAGCTCATGTCCGACGCGTCCTCCTCGAACAACAACAAAAAGCTCTGCTAGCCGACGAATGTATAAAGGTTGGTACTCGTTCTCTAGCCTTCACCAAACATCATTGCCAGAAACTGTGCCAATATTTGATCTGGACTGTTCATTATCAATGCCAAACGCGTCACTTTAAATGAAAGCTCTTCAGCCGCCACCGATTGGTTCGCAGTTCTTCACACTTGGAAGTACGTGTTCTCCATCGCCTATGCATCCTTCAATGACACTACGCTCAGGAAAAAGCGCCTACAGTGGATATTCTGCGAATCGAAACGCGGGTACGGTAATTTTCATGTTTTGGGCTGGACACATCAAGTTGGTGAGCCATTGCCTAGTGTACTATTCTTCAGCACGGTTTGAAAAGAGATACCGTAACACGGGGAAGGCTGAGAAATTGCTCAGTGCCCCTGCCGAGTCTCGAAGTTATTACATTCGCCGACCATTAAAGCAACAGTTCAGGGAGGGTCCGAAAATTTCAATGCCACTACTACTGAGGGATACACGAGCCCTAGTGAAGAACATATGCAGTGGAAATAATAAACGAACTTACCTCAGAAACTCAAAAACAGGGTGGAAAGTCCCTCAAACATGGGTGTTCTTGGGGATTTCCCCAATCCCGCCCCCTTGCCGGCCGTCATTGGACGCGTCGGCAATCGTGCTCGTTTTGGGACCACAGGGAAAATTGATTGAAAAATGGAGCGCGTTTACAGCGGGCACGTTCAGACAACTCGTCCAACGTGCGTCTTTATCCATTGCTGAGCGGCAGAGGGAGAGTACCTGTCTAAGACCCTCCCCGACGTTTTTTTCCAGTTTTTCATACATTAATCGTCTGGTTTTCATCTACAACTTCATTATTGGTGGTTTTTTCCCGCGAAACCGTTCCTGAACTGTTGCTTTAAGGGGAGTCATAAGCCCCTTCGTATTATATGTGAAAGAGTATAAAGATTCACAATACGGGTACCTGCGGGCATGAGTGGCATCTTCTGCGAATCTGTATTGCTTAGCTGATATCCGCATAGTGAGTTTTTACTATTTCTGTGGCGCATACATATAGCCAAACTACTTTAAAAACAGACTCATTCAAAGCCACTAGGATTCTCAATGAAAAGATAGAAAATGTTGGGCGTATTCAGCTGAGGGGCCTGATCAAAGCTACAAGATGGACCTTTTTTTTGTGTTCCACCACTGTACTGTGGTTAGGGATCGTCACCAGTAGCATTTCTGACGCGAGAAAGGCAGTACTGAAGAACCTTCGTAAGTAGTATGCGCCAACAAGTAGGGAACTAGCGCAACGGAAACTGAGCCAGCTACCCACAATCCTTCGAAGGTCCTTTACAGACATTTATGAAGACTTGCGACAAGGTTATTGTCTACATGAACCAGATCCAATGTGACCGATCAAAACTAAAAATTAGCTGGAAAATTATCCTTCAGGCGTCCTTTATATGCCAGAGCCAGCATCCAGCTTTTTTAGACCTATAAATGATTTGGTTTTCTCTGCTCTAAAACACAATGTCGCAGGTTCACGTGCAGCTCTAATCACGGAATGCTCGTCGAACTCGTCTTCTGGCGGCGGCAAGCGAACACTCGTCCGGACGAGTTCCAACTATTCGGAGGACGAGAACTACGCCACACTCTATGACTATCTGGACGAGAAAGCCGTTGGCTGTCTCGAATCTCTTCACAAGCGGTGCTCGCCGCACAAGTCGATCAGAGCGGTGCACGTCTGCAGGTTTTGTCAAACTATCGCAAGGTAATCGATGTCGATCAATAATCGGGATCTTCCAGCTTCGTAAATGCGGTGCATCGTTGCTGATACCGGAAAACGCATTGGACTCGGACAGAATGCATTACTGGCGGTTTCGAATCAGATCACTGATTCGTCCCCAAATTACAACGATACGTTTGATAACAGAGAACAAAGTTCATTCACTAATATCAATAATTCGATTTTTCAAGCTGGTTGAATCAGCGCTGTCGTCGGTGGTGGTACTCGGCGAGTGCGAGGGTGAGCCAACCACTCCGGCTCGGCTCCTGCTGAAGCCTTTGATTCTCTCGATTCGGCACTGTGCTTCGGTGTTTCCCCGTGACAACTGGTCCTTACTGTACGCGGACGAAGGTATGAAAGACTTGACATTCTGAGGAATTTTTGTCATTTAATGGATTTTTATTCAGGATTCGGCTGGCAACGAGTGTTGACTGTTGGTGAGGAGAATCTGAACTCGACGATGTACGTTCATATGGAGAAGCCGGGCCGAGCTGATGGTGGAATGGGCTGGTGTCATGTAATGCTGGACAGCTTTGCCAGGTATAATTCTCCTCTGATAAATATTGAACTTAATCCTCAAATCTCAGAAAATTCTATCACACTATATTTTCTCACAATCTGGAAGACACGTGAGGGGCCGTAGGAGACTTTCGTGCACTGTTCGTTGGAGTGCGTGATTACAAAATGACAATAAACTTTGCGCGGAGTTTAGCGTTCTTTTGCATCGGCTGCTCTTCTGTCTCGTATGGGTTGCGGGTACACAACCCACATTTTGAAGGAAAATATAGCGGAGTCCGATAGTAGTTTTTGTTGCTAGCAAGCCACCCTTCCTGTGAATATGACTGTGTGGTACATGGGCATTTAAAGCAATGTAGGGCTTGCGGCCGCAAAATTAAAGCTCTGAATACATTAATATATGTGTATTAGTTGGGCTGAAATGGTGTAGTGGCAAGTGGCTTGGTTAACCACATGACGGTTTTGGAATCAAGTCCTGGGTTGAACGCTATACAGGCCAGCAGACCTTGTCTCCCTCTAGGGTCAGTTCGCTCGTACCAAATTTAACTGGGACGATAAATACATTGATTTGTGCATTGGAGTCCGCCGTAAGCCATGGGGGCCGAGCTGAAGGTGGAATGTTTGGGCCAAATTGCACTCAAATGCCACCGCAATTCCGAATGGATGTGGGATACCTGGCGCACACCGAACTAGATTTGTTATCGGCGAATTTCGACCTTCATCCCTGCCTTTCCAGAGTGATGCTAGCCGGTCGACCACGACGAGCCTCAGCCACTGCGTGCAAACGGGTTCACCTGGCTGCCTACGGACCATCGGAGCGACCTCGGACGTCAAGCTTCGAGCTGAGGGTCTACTGCGTGCCGGAGACTGGAGCCGCGATGGAAAGCGTCGCAAAGCAAGAACAGCATGGACGGTGAGCTTTGCATTTGAGTTGCTTTCAATATAAGATACTTCACGAATCTAAAAAAAATAGTTGAGTATGATTCATCACTCTGTGGATTTTCAGGCTTCTGGCAGAATCGGAGCACTTTTTGCTGAATGAGAAAGGCGACCTCTGTTTCTGCGTTGAAGATGTCTCCGAGGGCTTCTCAACACGTGGATCAGCGCTCGTGGTAAGGCTTAAGCCCTGCTGTCGGATTTATTATAGAATTATATGTAGATTCGATTGTGCAGGACAATATTTCTTATTTTTCCTTCTATTAACTCACTGCCTCATTCACATTCACCTTTCACTGCCTTTTCTGAAATCGAAATTACAGTTCAGTACATGAAATCCCAGGTTCTGTCATGGTGAACTGGGAATAGTTTGGGAAATATACTAGGTCTTCTATGAACACATTGATGTCAGCGCCTAGCAGTCGAAGGAGTAGGACGTGTTCTCACCCGCCGGATTCTTGAATCGGTGGCAAGGCTGCTATGTCAAGTGTCCTGGGGATTTATGCGGCAGGACGCAGCCAGTGTCTGAGGATGAAGATCGCAGTTGAAGAGGCCGAATAGCGGGAGAAGCGGAGTAGAAATGGAAGCTGATGTGAATAGTTTTGCTGTAGCCTGACCAAGATTCCAGCTATAAGGCTGGCGTTTCGGCCTCTTCGCTTCTTTCAAAGGAAGCCTTCAATATAAATATATGGTTTTTTACAGTAATTGGGGAAAGCGAAAAGAAAAGGGAAGCGTTTGAAAGGCTACAGTCAATCCAGTTTTTTGAAAGCAGTGCGAGATCAGGATTCGTCAGCGCCTGGGGTAAACATAGCTCTATGGTGAACTCACCGGTCTCGAACCAGGGTCAACCGTCCGGTGGACAAAAAACCACCCCACGACGAGAAGAAAGGCGAGGGGGAAAACAGG